CCCTGAACCGGAAAACGTGTTCATCTCTTGGGGGTGCATCTTCTACTTCCGCCGCCTTCCGTTGAGTTTCTGCCGGCGTCCGCCGGCGGAGGCTGGCCTCCCACACACACACACACACACACACACACACACACACACACACACACACACACACACACACACACACACACACACACACACACACACGCACACGCACACGCACACGCACACACACGCACACACGCACACACGCACACACGCACACACGCACACACGCACACACGCACACACACACACACACACACACACACACACACACACACACACACACACACACACACACACACACACGCGCACCCTGGCGCGCGGGCTGCAGCGGCATTGGGTTCTGGTTGGCCCCTCCCACCCTTCTCCACCCCCTTGAGTCCTCCTCCTCCTCCTGCTCCTCCTGGTCCTCCCACTCCTCCTCTTCCCCCATATCCTTTTGCCCCCTGCCTCAGACTACTTGAGATCTTATAGTCTCAGGCTTCCCCCGTCTTGGAAGACGACGACGATGATGACGACGACGACGATGACAAGGGGGAGGAGGGGGAATTTGTTTTTTCCACCGCAGGACTCACACCAGCAATCCATATCCATATCCATCATCCGCGAGCAGCAGGGCCCCGACTCCAAAGTCGGGGCCCACCAAGGGTGAGACCGAGCGGGAGGGGGGAGCAGCAGCAACAGAGGGGCAGCAAGGGGGGGAAAAGGAGGAACGGGTACTGGCTGAAGCCCTTCGGCCACAGCTCTCCCTGGAACCACAGGCCGAGGTCGCCGCGGTACCTCGCGCGCGGGCGAGGGCGACCAATCCCGCCCCCCAGCGGAAGGGGCAGGAGGTCCCAATCGAAGGGGGGGGCGCACTTGGCACAAGGGGGAGGACTGCAGTCGCCCGACAAGCGGGGTCCATGCCCCACAGACACTGGACTGCTTGCGGGTCCGTCTCGCCTGTGCAGACCCACGACCCAGGCGCGCAAGGGCAGGGGCACATGCACGCGCCGACCACATCAGCTCCCTAAGAGAGCAAGCGGAGGGCACTTCAGGAACGAGGCGAAATGGGCGGATGCAGGCGGCGGCGGGTGGCGGCGGGTGGGGGCGGCGGGGGGCGCCCGCGCGCGCGCGCCGTCGCCGCGCTCCCTCGACCCCCGACCGCGACAGGCGAAAGCCCCAACCCAAGCCACACCACAAAGCAGCCAGCAGCAACAGCACAGCGGAGCACGCAGGGGACACACACGGGGGAGGGACACAAGACGACGCAACCGCAAGGGGAACAGGGGGGGGGGGGGGAGAAGCAACAGAGGACCTAACACAACGACCCGCACAGCGAAAGCACCACAACAATCAAAGGGGGGGAGGAAGGGGACGGAAGGAGAGAGCAATCACGCAACGTCAGGCTGACTCACACGTTGAGGCTGAGTGGGTCTCACTCCACGGAATACCTCGGTAACCTTCCTGTAGCGGCGAACGGATAGACGGAGCCGGCCATGGGAGAGGGCCTTGGGGCAAACCCTGGCGTTCAGCCGATGGTGGGCGTGGGTCTTCCGGAAAGCATCTAAGATAACTGCGCTGGCCAGATCGCGATCTCTCGCCCCCAGCGCGGCCCAAGAAGGGACAGCATCGGGAAGCAACCCTCGTCGCTCGACCTGCTCCCGCCACGGCCCTGGAAGGTTCACGGCGCCTGGGGGCCACCTAAGAGCAAGGGGCTTCAACTCGGGGCAGAACTTATAGTGGAGCATGTCATCCGAGCCCCTACACCTGAAGCGGCACCCCCGATCGACATTGTGAAACCTGGCCGAGGTGCAAACTCCCCAGGACAAATTCCGAATAATACCCGCGGTGAGGTGGGTGCCCGACGCCTTGTCAACCGCCCGAAGCCGTGCGCGTAGCGCCAGCATCACAGGGATAGACACCTCCAACAAGCACCTTCCAATTCGCGTCTGCAAGTGAACCAGCAGCGCGATGTCCGATCTTAAACCGCGCAAGTGGCGGTGAACACGGCCCTGGAGGTACCTGCAGCCCCGCCTGATCCCAGAGTGGAGGATGTCGGCGGCGTCGTCATTAGTGCTTCGAATCATATAAAGTTTCTCCACCAGACAGACCCAGTTCGCCCAGGGATAAAATCATAATCCAGAGGTCCCGCCGTGAGCTCCTCGAACACATATAGGGCGCTGTCTAGCGCCCGACACTTCTATAATACTCTGAACTTAGTAGCCTTGTCCATTATCCCACGGTCCACACATTCCAGAGATGCCCCAATATGCCTCATCTGCGCGAGCATACAATGGTTGCATGCATGTCTGGGACCCGCGGTCAGGATCTGTGGGACTTCCCGATCCTGACGAAAAATTCCAGGGGCGACTCTGACATGCAGCATTCGATGCTGCAACACGGAGAGGGAATTCGAGTGGAGGAGTCGAATAGTGGTAGGCAAACCAAGAGAGAGAGAGAGAGAGAGAGAGAGAGAGAGAGAGAGAGAGAGAGAGAGAGAGAGAGAGAGAGAGAGAGAGGGAGAGGGAGAGAGAGAGAGAGAGAGAGAGAGAGAGAGAGAGAGAGAGAGAGAGAGAGAGAGAGGAGAGAGAGGAGGGAGAGAGAGAGGAGAGAGAGAGAGAGAGAGAGAGAGAGAGAGAGAGAGAGAGAAGAGAGAGAGAGAGAAGAGAGAGAGAGAGAGAGAGAGAGAGAGAGAGAGAGAGAGAAAGAGAGAGAGAGAGAGAGAGAGGAAGAGAGAGAGAGAGAGAGAGAGAGAGAGAGAAAAAAAGAGAGAGAGAGAGAGAGAGAGAGAGAGAGAGAGAGAGAGAGAAAAAAATAAATAAAGAATTAAATAAAGAAAGAAAGAGAGAGCGCGCAACAGACGAACTCGCTGCCAGAACTTAATCATCACTTCCTACAGTGCTACTGTGTGTGCCGTCGGTCCAGCCCAGAGCCCTGCGTGCAATGCATGCGTCGCAAAACGCATCGCCTGGAAACAGCTACCCTTTCGTCGCGCGTGCTCCGACAGGCGCTCGCATGAGGGGGGGCCGCGTATCAGCGCGCAGCACTTCCCGAGGTTCAGAGATAGGCCAATGGCAGCGGACAACAGACCAAGAAAGAGCAAGGTAGACATCAAATCCGTGAGAATGTTCTGAAGGCCGATGCAGCGATCATTTGCGCACGCCAGTTCCAGCTCCAATATAGGAGCCCCCATGCACCGAATCCACCGTGAGACGGGGCCCAGGGCGAGGGCGAACAGGGCCATCGAAGCTGGGCCCCCTTGGCGGACCCCCCGCCCAATGTCAAACCTGATTTCAGAAGCCCCAGTGAAACTCACCGCAGCAATATTGTCCATATACAAGGCCTCATGGAAACCAATCGCAGCCCTCGGAACCCACGTGGCCTGGGGAACCTTCAAGATCCACGCAGAGAAAATCGATGGAAAGGCAGCTCGGAAGCCGGCGAAGAGCATTCCCGCCTTATCGTGACCCCTCGCATGCTGAAGGAGACTACATTCCTCGACCTCGACGACGTCATCCAAGAGATTCCGCCCTTTGACCCCCCCTTCCCCGCTGCTGTTCCACAGCCGCGCGCGGGGCGACGTCGTTCAGGCCCACGCAGAAAGCATCGGACCATATTTTCGCGTCTGCGTGAGCGCAGGGTAGGGGTCGAGTCGCTCCAGGTGCCCGCGAGACGAAGGCGCCCTGATCAGCAAGGTCGTCACCATTGGGCAGCAAAACCATGCGGCTAGCACGAAGCTCACTCGGCAGACAGCCCCCAGCGGAATCATACATGCGCTCATAGGCCTCATATTAAACCTCGACCGCCTCATGGGCCGCCCAGCAGCCATGCGGGGCCCCATCGGGCTCCGGGGCAGAGTGACTTTCGCGCCGCGCCCTTTGGGAGAATTCGCTATGGTCGAGACGCAACCTTGGATGGTCAGGGCAGACCTCGCACCGCTGAGCGCGCTCGAGAATGGCAGGCCAGCGCTGTGCATTGTGCTCCTGGCACGCGAACGCCCGAGACCAGTGCGCCGCCAAGGTGCCGGCAGCGATATCGGGGCTCGGACGTGGCACGCGCCCTTCATCCAGCCAGCCGCGGAGTCTCGCGCGCCTCTTCATTGTTGCCCGCCCCCTCCCGAGCGCAACCAGCCTCTTCTTCCGTCGATTCTTAGCCTCCTCGACCTCACCGCTGTGCTCGACCTCCTCCTCGCGATCGAACCACCGAAGCTTCGAGGTAACAATGAGAGAGTGAAGCCCATCAGGGTCAGCGCAAACTCCACGGTCGACATCGAAGAAGCGGTAGAGAACATCATAGCAACGCTGCGCGCGGAGGCACACATACCACTGCTGCCCTCTCCACCCCCGGCATGCAAGAAAAGCGAAGTGAAGTCGCTCCACATCGCTCGAGGCCTGCCTGGACTTACGGAGCTGACGGAATTCGGTAGCTACCGTGGCAAAGAGGGCCTTCGCTCTTTGTATCCTTTCCTCTAAGTCACTCGGCAAGACCGACGTCCGTAGTTGTTCGCTGACCATCCGACGGTACTCCGCGTGCATGCTGACCCATTTCGGAATCGAGAACTGCCCGGCGGTTGTTGGAAGCGCCAAGGAAAACGCAACAGGAATATGGCCCGAGGAAGATCCAGGATGAGTCAGAGCACCAACAGAGGACGCCGTTACCCTCCTCCCATTCAGGACGCCCGCTGGGAGGGCGGTGCATGCGCGGTCAAGCCTCGAGAAACTGCGGAGGGCCCCCCCCTTGATGTCCCTTCGGGTGGGGCCAGGCTGGTCCAGCTCGCACCAGTGGCCACAGATTTCCTTGAAAGCATCGCACTGCGCGCGGTCCCCTGGGCCAAAGGGACCGTCGCCGAGGAACCTGCCATCTTCCATATGCACATAGTTCCAGCCCCCCAGGATGATCGACATACAATGAGGAGCAGGCGGCAACGCGCGTTCAATTGCACACAGGAACCGTCTGCACTCCAAAATGTCATCACAAGTGTTCGGCATGTGCACGTTCACAACCGCAAGGTCCCCCGCATCGCCCGTGCGCATGACAAGCAACACCCCGCCCTCGATCACAACGCGCCCCTTCGCTCCCTGAAAACACTCTCGCAGCTCCGATGGCATATAAGTGACGGCCCCACCAGCAGCACTTCCCCCACTGGAGCTACCAATCGCTATACCTGTGCAAAGCTCATCGCGGAGAATCGCAAGGTCAGCAACGGTTCCATGGACTTCCTGGAAACGCGCAACCTGGCAACGTTCAAGTAACTTCTTAGCATGACAAAAGCGTGAACTCGCTCTCAGAGAGGCAGACGAGATAGAAGCAAAAAAGAGCACGTGTGTTCCAAGCACAGAGATACAGAGGACGGAGAGGTCGGTATACTCCACCCGCGCCCCCATCAAGCGGCGGAGAACAATGCGACGCTGTGTCATGCGAATTAGCACTAGCGCTGCAGTCTGAGGCCAGGGGCTCCGACGTATCAGAACCTGAAGCGTCTGGATTCCACCCCCCGTAGCCCTGGCTCTTCACGCAGCTTACGCACTCACCGAAAGGGCCTGATCTGAGAGAAACGAGTTTGTAGGCATGGAGCGTGCTGTGTCCCTCCGATCTCCTCGAGGCATTCGAGGTCAACAGGCACGGTAGCGCTTCCTGCGCTAGGCCCGTCATCAGCAATCATGATCTTGACAACCTGAACTGGAATCGATCCGTTCTTCAGGACATTGATGGTGCCCCCACGCCCCGTGGAACCTGGGCGCTCATGCCCGAAGATGTTAGCCACGTGCTGATGCATATCCCCAAGGTAGGCAGAACAACTTCCGAGAGGTCTGGGGGAGGTCTCGCCGGATCCTGAACTCCAAATCATCGCCGCCCTCGGGGGTCGGGAACTTGAAGGGGCCCAGAGTAGCTGCTTTCGCGTGGAAGGCCGGCGCCAGGAGAGTGCACGGGAAGCCCAGAACAAAAAATAAAATAAAACGTCTTACTGCAACTGAACGCCTTGACCTGGATCCCCGAACTCTCCTCCTGAGTAACGCACTTATCCAGAATCGGGCCCACCGCAAGCCGAAGGGTGTTCTCCATCAGCGCACGCTTGAGGCCGAGCACGTCGAGCCGAGAGGGGTTACCGATATCACCGGTTTCGACACGATGTCGAGTGAATCTCCCGTCTGGAGTGGTGGTTCAACCGAGCGAGCTCCCTGCCGTACTCCCCTTCATTTCCGCTATCTCATCCTTCATCACCTGGATCATCCCCTTCACATCCTCCATGATTTTACCCTCTGCGATCTCACGGTCCTGGATGGCCTGCTGGAGAGCTTGCTCTTGGATCAAGCGGATACCCTCAAAGTTCTCACGAGTGGCCTTAGCCAGGTCAGCATGGGCGGACTGGAGCATCTGGAAGTTTTTCTCTGCCTGCAACTTCTGGCCTTGGATACCCGAGATCTGTTTGTTTATCTCCTGGATTCCGAAGTTCAGCTGGGACCCAAGGCTATCAACACTGCTAGAAAGTGGAGAAACCAGCTCTGTCAGGGCAGCCAACATGCTGGAGTCAACCTTCTCTTCCGTACCTGGCGGCGTCGCGGGCGGCGAGGCAGGCGGGGTCGGGGTCGAACATTCTCCCTCGTCTCAACTGGCAATACATACAGGGATGGGTTCATTCATCCCACTTGGTAGTCCACCAGAGATTGTCCACGGCATCACCTGACGAACAGCCTCCATCTGGGAGGAGGAGGCTCGGGCGCGGGGGACGAGGACAGCGGCCGTCCCAGGCAGGTGGAGCGCGGCCGCGGCCCGCCCTCGGTGCCTGGCCACCAGGCGCCTTGAGCCAAAATGGCTACGGACAAGGGGGAGGAGGAGGAGGAGGAGAAGGAGGAGGAGGAAGAGGAGGAGGAGGAGCAGGAGGAGGAGGAGCAGGAGGGGCAGGAGGAGGAGGGGCAGGAGGAGGAGGAGGAGGAGGAGGAGATGGAGGAGGAGGAGGAGGACGAGAAGAAGAAGAAGAAGGATGATGATGATGAGGAGGGCTATGTATAGCTCCATATATTGTGGCGTTTGGGGAGCCGTTTGGTTCCATCCTGGCTGTTCTGGGGCCCTCTTCGGCTTTCCTTGGGCCGTCCAGCAAGTGTCGTTGGACAGTTCGGTACTTTCATGGCTATCGCGACGTAAGTGTGTGTGGGATATGTTTTAATGCGGCCACTGCTCATTTTGCAAGACTATGGATTGCTCGGCGTCGGCGATGTCCAGCCCTGGGCGTTTGCACGTCCGCAGGAAGAAGCGCGTGGCTGGGAGGCCCCCTCCCTTGCCGCATGATTATGTTCCTCCTTTTCGTCCCTCTTCTGCAGCTTTGGCATCCTCCTCCTTTTGGCATCGTCAGTCAGATGAGTCGGAGACTTCAGCGCCTTGGCTCTAAATTCGGCCCAGGCGGCAAAGACTGTGGCTTGGGAGGCGGTGCAAGGATGCTCGAGTCAAGCACCATCACAAGAAAAAAACGGTGGCAGGCCTCCAGTGCTCGACGCTGCCGGAAAATACGCGAAGTGATACGAGGTGCCAAAGTGGTAACCGAGGAGGCCCGCCGAGGTGGCCCTCATCTACTCGCTGAGCTAAGCCGGCGGCGGGCTCGGCGTCATGACTGACTCCACGGCGCCGCTGGCAAGAGAGGAGATGGATGACGAGGAGGGGCTCGGAGGACTGGGCCAAGGAGGAATGCTCAGACTGCACATCCTGCCCTCCAGCACTGAGCCCGCGGCCCGCCGTGGTTGGCACAATGTTGACAGGGCGGCCCTGGCAGTGATGATATGCTGCCTCTGCACGAGCGGACGAGCGCGTTGCGCGAGCGCGGCTCGGAGACGCGCAAGAGCGCTCCAAGCCAACGCGGGGCGGCGCCGCTGGCTCCCTTGGGACCCAGCCTGGGGGCCTCTGCGGCCCTGGTGGAGCCGCCCCGGGCCCCCGTTGGAACTTTTCCTGCTTGACCCACCTTCCCGAGACAGCGAAGCATCCTCGACGCCAACCTTCAGGTTTGGACAGGGGACGGGAGGGCGCCCATGTGAGCTGGCCCGAAGACGCTTCGGGGTGCAACCGCAGCTGCAGCCGAGGCCAAAGCTGGCGTGCACAGAAACATGGAAAGGGCCATCCTGCAAGCTTGGTTGACAGCGCACCGTTGAGCGGTGCTGCAGCCTCCTCCAAGCACAGGGCCCCCCTCAGAGCATCGGCCAGACACCGAGCTCTATGGCACAGTCGCCCAATGAAGCTTCCAAGCGTCATGCTTCCCTGGCACCGAGAGAGTCGGGCGCAGCAATTGCGCACTGGCACCGAGAGCGCCAGGCACAGACGTTGCCAGGCCTCCGCTGCGACTGCCGGCACCGCCGTCCCCTCGTCAGAGCCACCGATTCGGGCGACGGCGACAGCGACAGCGGCGGCGGCCGACGCGTCCAAGCCTGACGGCGCGCAAAGACAGACTGCCGGGAGGAGGACAGAGAAGCGAGTAAGCAAGAAGGACAGAGGGAGGGCGGGAAGAAAAAAAACGGAGAAACCCAAAACGCATCAGCACAGACTTCCGGAGGGCCGCGTCAGCGTCCAGACGGCAAGCGCTGACCCCCGCCAGCCCCAAACGGGTAGACGACTTATCAGAACTTGGCCCCACTGAAGTTCCCCAGCTCAGCTGTCCCAGTACGCAACACGAAACACTAGAGGCCTTCCAGATGGGGTGCGAGTAGATGAGGTCGGAGGATCGCGCCAGATCGCCGATGCATCGGCGATGCACAGGCGACGAATCGTCGATGTCGGCGATGCATCGGCGACGTCGACGTGAAGCAAATCGGGCTCCACCTCGAGCCGCATCGGCGATGCATCGGCGACGCGGCGCGATCCTCCGGCCCCATCTACTCCGACCCCATCTAGGAGGCCCAGAAACATAGAAATGGCGTCTTGATGCTGAGCCCTACGTGTTCCGTATCAAACCCAGAGATCCGATGTCGTGATTTTTTAAATGCGGGGTCCCGGGAAGTCTCGGCCCATTCCCCGGGAACGGTTTTTCATCCTGAGTCGCTTTTTTGAAGCTCCCAGGGCCTGGCGAGGGCCCCAAGAGGCCGAAAACTGCGACAAACCTCCGTCTTGATGTTTTCCATACGTTCGATCTCTGGGCATCAAAGAGGGCGTATCGACGCAGCGGAGGTCACCCGCGAGGGGCTGCAAGCAGGTGCTCCCCGCGAGGGGCCGCGGCAGCAGCGCGCAAGGGCGCGGCCGTGCCGCGGAAACTCGACGCCGCCGTCTCTTCTGGGGTTGGGGCGGCGGGCGGAGCTTTGCGCAGCGGGCGCAGCGGCGGTGCTGGTCGATCGCACAGCCGCTGCCCACCCAGACATCCTCGTGCTGTGAGAAGAAGAAAAAAAACACGACGGGAGGTTCTTCAACATTTTCAGTCTCCAGAGAGTCGAAAGTGAGCCGGGTAGCTCAAATGTGGCATATAGCCGGGCAAATTGCGTCCATCGCTCTGCTGTGAAGGTACAGTATGAGGGGTGGACGGATAAGATCGGATAAGATCGATGTAATGATCTTTCCAGCACATAGCGAACACTCGCGGCGTCCGGGCAAATAGGGCGCGCGTGCCTTGGGCCAAAGGCAACGGCGCGCGAGCTATGCTCCCGATACTGTAACATCTCCCAAAGAGCTACCCTTAAAGTCGGGAGGGGAGGAGACGGAGAGCATAGTCGCACGCAAAGATCGCGCGCACGACTGTTTGCAAAGAAAAGAAAACAGTGCGTACAGTCTGGTCAAACACCAGACTGTAAGGCGAGTTTCCTCGCAAAGTATTTCACGCAAATACAGGACAGCCCCTTCAAACAATGAAGGGCTATCGGCTCAGTTAGAGGTAAGCCAAAATTAGGCCATACCTCACCAAGCAAATGTGTATTAAGGCAAAGAGCCTGAGTTGTACGAAGCCGGCTCGTTGCCAGGCGTGAAATATAAGGCTCGTTTCCGAGCAACTAGAGGGGCGCCTTTATAGTAGGCGCCCGTGCTGGCAAACTGGACCGCGAGGGCAACAAGGACAGACTAAAATTGATTAGACTTAGGTTTGTCTCTGTCCTCGGGACCCCGAAAGGGAACAAATTGCTTCACGTCATACTTAAATGACTGAGTGCCTGACATCACTTCCAGAAGCAGCTCCCGATCGATGCTTCCCTTTGTATGCCCATCTGCGGTCATATCCCTAGTATCACACCATTGCACATTATGTACTATACCTATATCCATGAGCTCACGTATCCAGCTGATATGTCCAAGCAGAGTCCGTTCTGTAGGTATTTTGAGATCCCTGCTTGATAAAGATTTGTAGACGGACTCGGCGTCTATGGTAAGAGAGACTTTGATAGCAAGGCCTCCAACTTCACGCATGTCTCGTAGTTGTCGTGGAGTCAAAGCCCCTGCCTTAAGCTCGTGGAGAGTAATGAGCGTAGGGTAACACTCATCAAGGTTATGTGCGGCTGCAAGTGCCTCCGCAACATAACTGGACCTCACCTGTAATCGGTGTGATTTGCATAGTCCGTCACAGAGGTGAACGACGGACTTGCCTTGGGGCGAGTTTCCTCGCCGTAGTGCGTTGGCCCCGCGTATGCCGTGGCCCTTGGTCTCGTCATCCTCCTCCCCGGTAAGCTTCGGATACCCCGAATCGCTATGGATGTCAACTTCATTCGTCGGCTTCATCCGAGGGAAGGTGATGCGCTTCGGACTGCTGATCAGCTTTCGCGTCACAGCATTCAAACGTCTGACTTGCAAATTGGCGGGCTCTTGAATTTTCTGAAGAGAGACCACATATACCATAAGCCAGATTTGGGTAAGAAGGGCGCGGGCGAGGGCTCCTCGCAGGCTGACGAACATGTCGGTAATGAGTTTCGTGGCTTTGGCGTCGGCCGCTGCTCCTGTAAGTTCTGGGTGTGTGATAGGACGTAATTGTTTAATATACTCGTCCTGGTCCATGATCACATCTCCCTGATCATTCTTAGTGTAGCGAACGGCGCAGTTCGCATGTGTGCTTGTTGAGCTTGCATTTGCCAAATACCTTTTCGACACGTTGTACATAGTCGTCTATATTTTTCTCTAGACCTGTCATGTTAATATCATCGACATGTTTTGCCGTCAGAAGGTCTTGGCTGAATTCAAATTCAGGATCGTAGCTGGTCGGTGCAAGTCCTATAGCTCGTGTGGTCGTACGAAGTTTGAGAGAGAACGCTCTTGGAGCGTCCTTAGTACCCGTTCCTGGTTTGAGGCATCTAAGACAGCGTCGACTTTCGTCGTAGGATGAGAAGCCGGGTAAGGTACGAAGTACCTGAGCGCTTCCTGGTGGAAGAGTAAAGCAAACCATGCGAGTTTCCTCGCCGGTGGCATGGGCAAGTTCCTCATAGGTCAAACCTTTTAGGAACGCCTTATCGATATCCATGGATGCTAAGATCCACTCTGGATGACATGCCGCTTCACTTGCCAGGAGTCGTTGGGACTGCCTTCGGGCGGTTCCCGAGAATGTTTCCACATCAAAAGCCTCAGTATCCATAAATCCACGAAGGACCAGTCTGAGACGAAGGGTTTTATCGTTCTCGGTACCCATCTTTACGAACTTCCACTTGTATACGTATCTGGATGTCATGATGTTGGAAGCTTTGGATAAATCGTACATCTCAAAGCATCGGTTATCAATCCAGATTTTGAGCTCAGTATATAAGGCTTCACTAACCTCCTTTGGATGTGCTGCTATGTCGGCTTTGGTCAGTAGATCATCTTCTTTGACAACCACAGCACGTTTAGCAGCAGAGGATACATATACTCTCATCGTTGCGACCATATCGGTATCGAGCTGTGCAAGTTGAGTCTGATCCAACACTATTTTTGACATTTCTGATGTAAAGCATAGTTCAACGTAAGGACCGTATTCATCACTGTCTAGAGAGTAGCTCTCGTCGGTTGTGTTTGAACAAAGAGATACTAGACAGGACTCACATGATTTCGGCTCGTCTCCGAGCATATCTGATGATGTAATATCATCTTCGTCCACAAATGCTGAAACCAAAACACATTGGTCGGGCAGCATAGTTGTTGGGACGCAATAAAGATAATCATCGGTAATCGTCGTAGGATGAAGGTCCATACGTAGCTCGTCGTACCACTCTTCCAGCATCATAGCTTCGATATTGTGTTCCTCATTTTCCTCATAGATTGTCGACAGACGGCCTTCGCTCGGCGATGAAGCATCTGGTGTGTCTGGAGAAGGCCTGTTTCCAGGCGACTCGTGTTCTCCAGACGTGTTGCTTGGATGCTGATATTTGGCCAAATCGTCGTGAAATCCTAAGGAAGGGACACGTGAAGTCAAGCATTGAATAAGTCTGGAGTGAGCGCTACCAGTGATCTGAGAAATGTTTAAGCCGGTGCCCACACATTCGTAATAGTGGAACGCCGGGCTGATGTCGTTGTCATAGTGGATCAGCGTAGACCCGGTGGCGTACTTTACTGCAGGTAGGCTTGACACACTCTTAGCCAATCGAACTGCTACTACATGTTCTACTCGGAAGTAATTTCGTACGAGATACTGTAGTGCTAAGTGTACGCGCGGGTGAAACTTGCTGTCGTCTGACAGATTAAGGTTTCCCTTGTAATCGGGGATATACCCGAAAACTTTGGCAGGTTTCCCTGCGCTGAGGTGTGCCACATAAGCAAGGACGGTTTGCATGGCCATATTATCCATGCCAAGTTCCCGTGTGAGGAGACATTCGATGTATAGTGTGTGACGAGCATCAGGATACATCACAATTACCTCACGAGATCCTGCCTTGACAACAATATGTCCTCTTTCAGGCACATTTCGGATCACCGGGAATGGGCCATTCCAGCCTCCATGGTCGTCCTTGGTGGCAGTAGGTCGGTGGTAGTCGACCAAATCCCCTGATGAGTAGAGGCGAGCACCATCAGGAGTCGTCTTAGCCCTAAGAGCCCGATTTGTCTTGGCCACAGCAGTAGCCTGAGTTATAGCTTCTAGGCTGACTTCCCTTACACGACGTTCTCGTTCGTGTCCTGAAGTCTCGGGTCCCTTGGGAAAGTCAAGGGTATCGAGATCAGGAAGGAAGGAGGGCTGACGTCCTGTGTGTGCCTGATATGGCGATACTCCGTTATAAAACGTAAACGCATTAGTAACGAAGATGCCTTCCGCCAATACTCTAGTGAATACAACAGGGATGTTGTGTCTATTCAATTCTTCCTCAATCATGTGGAGGACGCCTCTGAGAATGCCGTTTCGTGACTCAATTGAAGTCGCGTGTTGGCCAGGTGCTCGGATACGAAGTTCCGTGCCCTTATTGGCCATCATGGTTTTAGCGGCATCGTTATTCAGGGCGCCTTCTCCGTCTGAGTATAAAACTTTGAAGGGTCCGTGATAGGCAATCCAGCAATAGTGGTAGGCGTCGATGATAGTGTCACGTTCTCTGTCGGAAATTTCTAGGCCTGCTGCCAGGCGAATACAACGATCCATAATATGAAATATGGTCCGTTTCTTGTAAAACATGAGGTCCATTTCCCCTTCATCGAGCCAGTTACCAGGAAGGCTCACCGATGGTAGTGTTGAGTTTCCTGGACGTTCCCATGCTCTACATTCCCGACAGGTATCGCAGACTTCCTTGATCATGTTCAGTCGAACGTTATCAAGCCCCACCTTTTCGAGGATTAGCCTCATCTTTGGCTCCTTCGCATGATGCCATCGCAGATGCAGTTTTCGGAGTTCCTTTTTCACGACATGAGGTTCGTGACTACGGAGACTCTGTAGACTGTGTTGGATGTCGAATCTCGTCCAGTCGGGTAGTCGTGGAGCCCCAGAGCCGGTGGAGGTAAGAGGGTTCCTTGTAGCTCTCCGTAGTTGGTCCCCTGTGTTAACTGCGTCTGGAGGTGGTGGTGCGCCTTGTAGACGGCCGCGGCGGGCCGCCACCTGTGGCACTTCGCTAGAAGACGCAGAAGGCGTGTTTCCACGCTCGGGGGCGTCTCGTAGCATGTCGTAGCTGCTCGGATCGACGTTGCCGAAGGATCGTGGTCGTGGTGGCCTGGCGCTTGCGCCTTGACGGCCACCTGAAGCTGAAGCTTGGCCCTCACCAGGTTTAGGTAAGGGTTTCCACCAAGCTGGCACGGTTTTGCCTTCGGGGTCGTGGTCGTCTGGCAATTTAAATGGTTCAGCAAAACGACATTTACCAGGTTCGGTATCGAGGTGGTTCTTAACACCCTTGCTTCTCGTAAGATCCCTCTGACATGCTGGACATGGCCAATATACAGAGATGGAATCATGATATTTACACTGCGTAGGGTCTCTGTTATGGCTGGGACTGTCCTTTCGGACGTTGTCGATGCATGCCGGGCAAGTAGCCACCTTTGGGATGATACGATCACCGATGCGT